GTTGTTTATGTTGATAATTACATAACAAAGCTCCTTTGTGCATGCCTGCACTAAATGACTAGATTGTGTCCTCAGATGCCCTCAGACACCTGGGCTTTGACACATCTCACAGCAGTCCCCTACATTCCATCTTTTTAATAATCGAGGGGCTGTCACTTTTTGTGACTGGCATACAAGGCTGTTCTTTGTGTCCAGAGCCCATAAAAGTAATATAAGGAACAACATATAACCATCAACCAACCCCATGGTTATTGTAGTACCATTGAGAACCATCCATCACCAGGTGACTCTTAAAGATTTTTATCATTGGGTCAGGGGGTTTTGTTGTAAGATCTGGATGGTGGACTTCTTTGTTCCTATCTCTTGTAAGGCCTCTTGTATTTGTCCCTGGTGGTCAGGAATAAAAATACAGGATTTTATATATAGGAGGGCATAAGTGCCTCCCTGTGTTGTAGTCAATAAATCCAGAGTCATATGATTTTGTAGCATCATCTCCTTGATTTAGGACATTTTATTTGTGAGCAACATCAGAGATTGGTGAGTAATATTTAGGGTCTGTACCATGTGTTGGGCTAGAGCTTTAATTTGGAGGGCTAGGTCTATAGTTTCTGTCCCTGGCATCAGTACTGTCATAGGATAAAACCATCAGACCACTTGTTTGACACAGTGCCATCTGTGATATACAGTGTCCCAATTGTGGAATGTGTCTATCACAGTGGGCCTGATAAGGAATGTCTTTAATACAGTGAAACCTCCAGGTGTAGTGCCCCATCCAGTGTGCAGGGAGGTATGGCCAATCTATAGTGTCATAGACACATAAGACATCCATTACAGGCCAATCAGTGGGCATTGTATTTATGAGTTTATGGTCATCTCATCAGGCATTTGTGTTATTTATCTGTAGCGTGTTGTTACACAAGGGTAGGGGTATTTATCTCATTATGTGATTTCCCACTGATGCACTGACCTGTTTCAATACATAGTGGGGCAATATTCAGTAATATTATTTGATTTTTCCATCATCTACCCCCAATCATTATGTATCATAGGTCCCAGTCATTGTGGGTTGGATGTATTTTTCCAGATCAGTGCCTCAACAGTCTGGTGTCACTGATCCTAGGTGGGTTTAATCTGGTTTTGTTGTCTCTAGTCTGTCTAATTGCACAAAGATGAAAGCACAAATCTTTATGGAAGGCCTTTGGTCACATCTATTGGGAGTTCAATGTACACCCAACAGTATGATTGTTGGTGCATGAGCAAAAGTGGTAAATTTTCCGTATAAAATACAGTTACATTCATCATTGAGATCTTGTACCTTTACATGAGTATCTTGGTTCTTATTTTTTTCCCCTTCCCTTGCCCTCCCTTCACCCCCTCCACCCTTCTCTATTTGCAAAGACTTCATTTCCATTTTTTTCCTTTTCTCATATTTTTTCTTTTCCCTTTCTTCCTTTCCCCTACCTCT